CTTGCATCTTCCTATAAACATATGAGAATTACTAATCTAAAAGACAGATATTCAAAAATAAAGTAGGCTTTGGAGCTGTACCTGCTTTAGTTAGATCCATTAGATCTCTCTCTATTTCACCCAGGTAAAAAGCTGTCAGGATGTTGTAAAGACTTGCCAACAATGCCCTAGTATGCACACCACTAGTCCAGATACAATGCACATTGTACCCAAAAATTTTAACTGGGGATTAAGGGATTGCCTCCTAGCCCAACACAGAGGAGTGCCAAAACAACAGTTGATGTCCTGGCTTACAGATTAAGGACCTTAATTTTTCCAAGGAAGACTCTACTGTTCAGCTGATCTGATTTATGCTTCACACAGAAAAATGGGGTTTTTTTTTGGTTTTTTGTTGTTTTGGGGTTTTTTTTGGTTTTTTTTTTTTGCAAAATCATTTCTATTTTTCTTAGAGAGCATATTGTTCATTGATGAATAGGGAAAATTCTCATTTTACAATGAGAATTTTATTTGCCCGTTCATAAAAATGTCATGCCATTTGTTGCAGCAATAGTACCATAAGACATGGGGAATGTACAACTTCTCTTTCTTCCTCCTGACTGATCAGTGAACTCCACTCTGTAAGATTGGGGATCAGTAAGGTTTGACCTCTAGCTGATGTAAATCAGAGGAACTACATACTTCAGGTTGGTATATACAAATGCTAATTTCCATACCTTTAGTACACAGTTCTACAGACACAGATCTGGACATACACTCATCTTTTTATATAAAAGTGGCTGACAGATCATTGGTAACAAATTTTCAATTTTTTTGGTCACAATTTTCCTACGAAAGGAAGATCTACAAAATGCACTTCTTATCACAGAACTGAAAAAATCATCAGTTTGATAATTGCACACTGTCTTCCAAAACCAACAAATATATGAAAAAGATTCACACTAAAAAGAAAAAAAAATAAATCAAGGCTGAGGAATAATTTCACAGTGTAACTCTGTAACAAGTCCCTGGAGAAAATTTCTCTTCCTTTTGTTCCCATCTGCAAAGCTGTGTAATTGATTCCTAACTGCTGTGTTAATGCTCCGGATTCCTGGCAGAATCCCTTTGGAAATACATTAAAGCAAGCAGGACTCTCTCCTGCTGCAACCTTTTGAACGCTGGAATCTGGGATTCTGTGACATGCATCACGTTTCAAGCAGTGGACCACAGTGCCAGCAACTGTGCCAAAAGGCTGATAAATATTAATATAGAAGAATAAAGTATATGGAATTATATATTGAAATGTAGAGCAAATCAGGAAATTGTTTTCTTTTGTAATGAATAACATTCTCTTACAAGTACAGTTACATTCCACCAAATAGAAATTAAATAAGAGCAAATAATATTTGCTATAGTGTGGTTTATTAACTTCTTATAATGACTTGAAAAATTTTAAATTACCAAAGGCAAGTGTTTTTTAAGGAAAGCACTTGGTCTTCTGCAGGATCAAGGAATAGTTTGACTTCCTGATCTTCCTATATCTTTTTCTGTACACATACAGACTAATAAAAGAAAAAGAATGAGGCAAAAAGAATTTTGTCCAGCTCCCAGATTTTACCCCAGTCAATACCCCAGTGACTGTTAGAGTTGTGCATGGAGCAGGTGTCTGCCTGGACAGAGCCAGTGACATAAGACGCCCTCTCTTCAGCAGACCAGGAGAGAAATATGGAAAATATGTGTTTCAGTTTTCACATATGGTGCCTAATTAACCTTAATTAAGGTTGTGTTAAGGGAACTTGAGCAGCTTGCACGAGGGATATCTGCTTTCTGATTATTTTTTTAGCTTTAAGAAAGGAAGATTTCCTCTCAAAAAGAGAAATACACTTATGAAATACAAATGTTCATGTTTCAATCCAATTGTATGAGATAGTACTGATAAAATACCCCTGTTTTTATTGTTCCTTATGAGTCAAACAATTTTAAAAGAAAAGCACAAGAATCACAATAAAGTGGATTCTCTGCTCTTCATAGTTCAATGTAAAAAATAACCAACAAACCAACACTAAACATTTTACAATTTGGGTATATGTTCCCTTGTGTAAAATTATGGATTATTTTTAATAATTATCTTAAGCTTACTATTCTGATGACCCTAAAAATGAATCAACCTTGGCAGCCACACAATTTGCTGCAAATGTCTCCTCTTCAACTATGGGCCGTCAAATTTCACAGACAGGCACCATTGTTGTGTTCTGCAATTTCTGATCTTACTGGGTGGCATTACAGAAGGTTTTTGTTCAAACTGTCATTTGTGGGAATAACCTAATACCAAATTGTAAAGTTAAAATTAATTTTAAAATATATTCGAATTTAACGCAATAGATTATAAATATACATATACTTGCCAGAGTCAACTCCCTGTTTCTTGTTAGAATAACACTACTTGGAAAAAGAGCCTGTGTTAGGCAGACTATAAATTCTGGTCTGAAAATTTTCATATTGCATATCTGCCTTAGAAGTTTCTTTCTTTGTGGAAGAAGTCAGCTAATGTAATTTAGCTATTTCTGAGACTGCAGCAGAAACAAGAACAGTATTCTGCTGTGTCAACATATTAACACAACTTCTTGTGTTTGAAATCTGCAGTGCATCTGTGCTTTACAGAAAANTTACTGCACTGTCACTTTCTGTACACTTCTGAGGTTGAAAAAAGGATCAGAAAGGTGTTCCAGCAGTCATTAAAAACAGAAACCCAACAAAGCAAAAAAAAAAAAAAAAAAAAAAAAAAAAAAAAAAACAAAAAAAAAACCCAAAAAAAACCCCCCACACCATAATTTGGAAGCAAACTAGCTGTATTTGCAATTAAGTGAGAAATGACAGACGTAGGTATTAGGGGGCAAGGGGGACGATGACAGATAGATGGAAAGCAAGGTCCCTGAAAGGAACAGCTGACCCAACCATGTGCCTCAATTGATATATGAAAATTTAGGACCTTGTGGTCAAGACAGTTGAAATTTTCCCTGAATTTTGGTCTGGGTGTTTTGAGTTTCCTTCAGGTTGGTTTTTGGTTTCCTGTTTTTTCTTCTTTGCCTTTGTCAAGAACTTATGATAAGGAATAAAGGAAAATTTTATGAGTTTTTGCTTCTCAGCCTTTTCTTTAAGTCCATTTCTTTAATTTTGGGCAGTACATATGAGGAATTGAGGAAAAAAAGTAAGTTGAGACTCAGACATGTAGAAGGTCTGGAGACTAAATTACAGTTACAGCTGATGATCTGGGGAACCACAACATGGGTATACACATTTCGTTGTATTTTTCAAATTTCCAAGGCAGTCAACAGGAGGAACTTAAGGCTGGACACTGCAAATGCAGGGCCCTTGAAATCAATGGATGTTTAAGACTTTAAATCTTTCTCTGACTCAGCTCTTTACTTGAAAATTTAGGATGACAAGAACATCTTTCTTCCCAGAGGATACTGTGAAGATAAACTCATCATTTATCTGTGAATCATCCTAGCTAATCCAGTTAAAAACACATGGAAACTCACTTTTTTTTTCCCCAGAGAGATTTTAATGGTATATCAGTTACAAAGCCTAAACATAATCAAGAAAAAATAATACTGATTGATGTTGTGCATGAAAGAATATTGTCTATTTTGCATCTCTGAAGGCCTCAGGGCTATGAGTAAAAGCAGCAGATATAATGATACATACTCATGCACCAAGCAGGCAAATTTTGCTGCATACAAAAAATAACACTGGCATTCCTCAAATTGTTTGGTTTTCCCTAGTGCCATTTTTTTGTTACACTCAAAAAGCTATTGAACAGAGTGCATATTAATGTGCAGATAATAATACCAACCATATTATGGTGAGAAAAAGAGTTTATATTTTGAATACTTTCAAAGTATAAAACACAGGCAGTAATACACAGACATCATCCCTGAGTTTGTGAAGAAATATCCTTTTTAGACACATGACAGCATATTTATCTATTATTGATTTTATGTTTTCTTCTGAAGCATCTAGTATTGACAAATGCCTGTGACAGGATATCTGACTAAATAATCAGGATAATTAGCCTGATAATTTCCCCAGGTTTCCATGTGAACTGAGGATGCTATAGCAGCATCTGGACCTGATGAGCACATATGGAGACAGCTGAAATGGAGTGATTGCTTAGATCACTCCAGCATCTTAGAAAGAAGCAATGAGACAATACTACATGTAAGCAGGGGTGCTGAAAGCAGTCTCCATTCTATAAGAAATACATAGGAAAGATTAATGTAAAATCATAACATAGTACTTTGGCTTTCTCTATATTGACATCAATAAGCATCTTCAGTATTGATTTTTGCTTATTATTTAAATAGCCTAATACAAATACAGACATTAAGCCAGATAAATGCAGAAATCAGTATAACTGCAGCCAAGAGTCTTTATACCAGAAGTCATACCAATTACTCCCCAGGCTGCCAAGACTGACTAAACAGAATTCCACACCGACTTCTGAATGAAGGGCTTTAAAAGCAGGATGATCCCTAATCTCTGCTCAGTGTCATACCCTGCAAAAACTTCCTCAAGCCTTCTAACTGAGCCTGTACCACTCAATATCCCCTCTTCCTTTGCAATGTCAGACCAATATGAGTTGAAAGTGTGCTGGGGATGCAGAAATGATCTCTCCTTCTGAGACAGAGGGACAGTAAAGTACATTTTTCAAATACTCACAGATGGCTTTTTCTCAGTTCTGTGAAGGCTGGCAGTTCCTATCAAACACAAACGTCTAATTCATGTTTCCTGTTACATTTCAGGAATTACTTCACAAGTGCCAAAATATAAAAAGGATTTTCAGACTTACTTGCTCAGATTTAATCAGGCCGTTCCACTGAAACTAAATCATGTGAAGGTGTTTTACCACCAAATGGATAATCAAGCTAAAATATTCTATATACTTGAATATAAAAAGTTAACTGGAAATGCACACTGGGAAATAAAAACACATTGGCTTTATTTCTGAGAATAAACAGTACCTTTCTCCTGTCATACAGTGCATGGTTATCCAGGATCATCTTCCTTTCATGTGCAGCATACCTCCGCAAATCACGTCCAAATTGCTGTCAAAGACAGAGCAAACATCAAACACATGCACAGACCAAAACTGTTATCCTTTGCACCTTCTAACACCAAACCAAATAATAAACTAAGGACTAAAAATTACCTCTATTAAAGGAATATAGTCTGATAAAATCAGTCATCTGAAGGGAAACCTTTGGATAAGGAATCCAAATATTTGCATCCGTCCATCATTGCTGTCGTTACTGTGACAGAAGCTGGGCACTACATAAGAAAGCAAACCTGTGGTGGGCTCCCACAGTCTGCAGGTGAATTAGCCCAACAGGGAGTAGGAGCTCAGTGAGGCAGAGAAAAATGAAGGCATTGCCTACTCATCCAAAGGGCCTCACACTGTGTGTTTTTAGTGTAGACTCCTATCTACAGAGTTGAGAGAAGGGCTTTTAAGTTGCCAAACACTTCCAGGATAAGAAAGGACCCCAAAGTCTGCAGAACTTAATCCAAAGTCCAAAAAAATACATTTTTGTTATCTCAAAAAAGTGACTGAAATAACTCAAGCTCAGCAGGAGAACACATCAATTTCAACATTTTGCCTGGTCTAAACCATCCTGCTTCCAATTAACCTGAGAACAGAGTGGCAAGGCACCAGTACTGCTTCCAGTACATCAAAAAAATAATTCAGAGCAGGCTCAGAAGCTCTCCATTGTACCATGTAAACACTCCCTAAAAAATGAACATCAGAAGGCAAGCATGTAAAACAGATTAAGAAATAATTCTTTCTAGAGGGAGATTAATAATTTACATTTTGAGTTTGCATTGGGTAGAATTTTTTGTTTTGAAAATAGTGTACTATTTCATATTATGCCAACTAACTAGTGTCTATTGTGAAAGTAGTTATAATTTCAAGTTTTCTTATTAAAATATAAACCAAAATATATTTTATTCTGATTAAAAACTAATGTCTAATTTTAATTTTTTCCAGTTTTTTACAATTTCAAGGAGTTAATTAAAATGGAACTGAAACAAAACATTTGATCTAATCCAAAAAGAAAGATGTCAAATTGTTTTCAATTTCCTATAAAACAAATTAATTTCCAATTCAGAATATCTCTTTCTCAAATGTTTAATTTCCTGTAAAATTATGTGACACTTTCCAAATCATATCTCAACTCGGTAACCATTTAAATTTTTTGTTAACAGTATCATGATGTAAAAAGACAACACAACTGACCAAAACCCTAACTCTTCAGTTCATAAACCTAAACACTAAGACACAAGGAAAATAGAACTTAACTCTCCTAGAGAGACATCCATAAATGTTAGTGATGAATTCATCAGCTCCAACCCATGATCAGGGGTGGATGACAGCATGAAACGTGATGAGTGAATATCAGGAATATTTTTTTTTAATCCATGAACTCTGAATAGTCCTGCAACAACAAAAATGTGTTTGCAGTGCTAAGAGAACTTGTACTGTAGTGGTTACTTACCCTGGAGCCTGTCCAACCTAACAGAGCATATGAATATTGCTCAAAGGGGGTTATGACCAGATCCACACGGATTGCCTTCCAGTCTTTGACTTCTGCCATTTCCAATTTTTTTGATGTGTTGCAAGTGCTGTTGTCTACTCTTGGCTGATATAATTTTAAAATTGCAAAACACTTCTGAAAATGATCCATGGCATCAACTTTTCTGCTTGGCAGCTGCTCCTTTACAAATGTTGATTCGATGATATCACAATAAAGGAGTAAGCCCTAAAGAGAAGATATGGTTCACATTGAATTGCTGAACTGGTTTTACTGTCATTCCAGAGTTTCTAGATAGTTGTCCTAAAAATTCACGTGAAATGTAATTTCAGTAAACAAGGAACTGTGCCAGGGTAAATTTGGGATAACAAGAGACATGAAACAGCATCAGACTTTGGAAAATATTTGAGGGAAATCTGCACTGGTAGATATCTGACAGTAGTGAGGTCCTGCCCTGTACTAAAGAGATAGAATTTGCAATTCTTCCCCTCTCTCCTTTTGTCCCAACCCTTTTTCTAGTTAATGTCAACAGAAATTTCTCAGTAAGGATTGATGTGTTCCCTTGTGGCAGACATCTAGAAAAAGATGATTAGTCCAGTGCACAGTCTTGCTGATGGATTCCAAAGTGGAAGATGCCATTTGGACTGTATCTGATGCATGAGATTTCCTTGTGACAAGGTCTGGAGTTTCCAGAGAGATGGAAGATCCCTGCCCATGTCTTTTCCTCAGAGGGAATGCCCATTTCTTTAGGTCCTTGGGTCACTTTTTCTGCTTTGAAAGCACACAAATGTTTACACATCCTCCTTCCTCTGGACTAGGGCCTTTTTTAAATTGCAATGTTGAACTGAGCGTGTCTAGAAGTGGTTTTATTTGATGGCTGCCAGTTGTTTGACAATGGTGTGTTTAGGAAAGCTATTCTCCTATTTAGTAGCCCAGCTAAAACCATTCCTCTTGCTTCCCCCTCCCCCACCCCAACTGAAAACCCAAACGACAAAGATCACGGGCTGAGATAAGAACAATTTCCTGGAAACAGCAATGAGGTAAGACAACAAACAGTAACTGGCAGCACTATTAATAACAAAAGGTATAAGACAAAAATAGACAAAAATAATTTACATGTAAAATACCAGACCATTTCAAACACCACACTTTCTCCCATTGAAAGGAAAATCCTTCTTCTAGGAAGAGAGAAAGTCCCTTTCCCTCATCCCTGGCAATGACAGAAAGTGGTATTGAATATTAGGGTCTGGCCACGCCCCTTCCCTCTGATCTGGGCCAAAATCAGGATGTAGGGTCTCCAGATAAGTCTCTTAATGTCCCAGGTAACAATTAACTAATTTTCAGTATTAAAAATGAGATTTTTATTATTTCTTTTATTTAATGTAGATGTGGTAACTTTACATGACAATATCTTAAATGACTTAGAGAATACTTTACAGTAATAAAGTTACTTTTATCACTAAGAGATAAAATTCTGCCCCCCCCCCAAAAAAAGCATATCAAAATCGCTTAACAAGATACAATTTCCATGAATAGACACTGATATGTATTATTACATTTTTAGCCTCCAGCTTTTTGTTGATGATAGCTCCAAATTAACAATCTCATTATTTTACTGGAAATCAGTTACAGGCTTTTCATGAGTCAATGAGCCAGCTTTTTTAATGATAACCATTTTATTTGAATTGGCATTCTTTCACTTGTTTGGAATTTTTCCTGATTATGAAGATTTATTATAAACTGATATGAGAAAAATCCTTATGTAGTTTCTTGTCTTGGATGACTAGTTGCCAAGTCTGCTGATCTGAAAATGCTTAAATTTAGCAGGTGCTCTGTAACAGCTATCTTTAAAACAGCAATTTTTTTCTTAATTTTACCCCAGTGTCACAAGGCACTGATGCTTGCTCTTTCCAAATATAGACTCAAAACAGCTGTTAAGTGTTAATGCATAACTCTCTATTTTTCTGCTTATTTTGATGAAACTATCCTCCTTTCAAGTTAATTTTTTTGCTTGTAATGCTAATAAAAATAATTTTAATATCATTAATCATTGACCATTAATTGATGAATTCATGCTTTGATTAAGCACCAATATTCTTCCCATTTTCTATAAAAATCTGTTAGCTACTTAGCAGCACTTGCTTATCTTTTTCTTCATTTTTCTTTTTGCTCTTGGAGATTTGGGGCACTACAGAGTATATACCAGAAGCCAGAGTTTCACCATTAAATAGGAGCCAAAGCCTAGGTCATATGCATTAGGATAATGTTTCCAATTCACCTAGTATAATTAGACAGTGGACATCACCATCACCCCTCAAAGTAAAGGTGAAATGGCACTTAGGTACACTTGGAAAAAGCATTGCCTGAAGAGGCAGTCAGCTATGAAGATTGTGTGAAGTTCTGGCCACTGCTAGCTACAGAGCTGCATCCTTCTCATTACTCTGAGTCAGGGAATCTGCAGCTCTTTGCACATTTCAGATTGATCTGTACACCATAAAGTGCTGTAGGTCTCGTTTACACAATCATGTTATAAAGTGTGGTAATTTTAATTTCTCAAATTTACAACACCATCAAAACTAAATATATATTTTTAGGACAGTTATGTTAAGACCCTCAACAATTTTCCATTTTTAGAATGACTGCACACTTTTGCTTAAATATGCTGAGTGCTGGCACATCAATAGCATTGATATTGGAGTAAATCCAAGTTCAAACTGAGGAAAAGTATGACTTTTCAAAAAAATATTAAATCAATCACTGAAAAATCAATCAAATATGGTATCCAGCATTCTCAGTCATTTTTAATTAAATGGAATCCTATTCTATATTTAGTGTTACATGCTGTCATTATTCATCGTTTTTGCTAGCTGGATTAATTCTGCTAAAGCTAAATAGGATCATTTTATATAATCTGAAAATGTAATCCATTATGTTCTTCTGAAATGCATATGTTGCTGCTATAGATCTCCTTCTGAGATAGTTTAATAAAGTGAAACTGGAATTCTTTTTATTTTTCAGTGAAATTCCTATATCTAATCCAAAATAGGATATAGCATGTTAATTTGGAAAAATTTCATCATGGATGAGACAGATGGAATTATATAAAGTGGAAGAGCTAAAGGAACACTTTTTAAAAGTCAGGCCTTTAAAGAAGTCACTAGAAAATGGCATCAAAGGTTTGATCAGCAATGCAAAATTTGGCAGCTGCTGCATAATCATGCAGCTGCCTTGGTCCCTTTTTCATCTTGAAGTTCCCTGTGTGTTGGAATGATCTGTTTCTGAGCATGTCTGGAGCAGCCTGGCTTTGACAGCAATGGACAGATCAGCACTGGAATCCATGAATGAAGGTGTTTGCCTCTCTAATGCCATGAGCGTTTGCACTGCTGAGCAAGATAAAGAGACAGACAGACAGACAGACAGGGAGTTACATGTGCCTACTCACCCACACACAGCTATACAATGCACCCCAGAAAGATCACACGTCTTAAGAAATGCCAAATCTTCACTTAGAACACAGCAGGAAATGGAGCACTTCTGCTTACTTTATACAAGAACCTCACAAGCAGGATAATCAGAGTCAGCCCTGTATTCTCACTAAAGAAATTTAGGCCAAGATCTCTCATGTTCAGGGCTCTAACCACCTTGCAATAGTCTATTTCAGGTAAGAATTTCATCGTCTTAGTCAGATGTAACCAAAAAAATCCATAATGAATTGCAAAGAAAGCTGAGACAATGTTCCCAAAGGAGCTCTGCATCCTTATGCACTCTTTCATCTGAAACAAAAGGTGCTTTCCTCTGGCTTCTTAATAATTTCAGTGTCTTGTTTTAGAAACAGGTTTTGTTGCTGGCAAAATCCAGCTGTCACTTAATAATGAATGTGCAGCTTTGCTGTGAACCCTGTTTCCAAAAATCAGTTTCCAGCAAAAGAAGAAATATTACTTGCTTCTCACCATCCTCTTTAATGGAACACCAAGCCTTCCCCTTCCTGATCACCTCATCAATGGTGAACACTAGAGTTTAAACCAGACCAGTAATGTATTAAAATAGGTAAGCACAGGCAGGCATCTCCATCACTTATTTTCCTAAAGCCAAAAGAAAAATGCAACATTATATATACATGAATATAAAAGGAAAAACTGAAGAGTGCAGGAGTGCCTGTAGTAACAGTATCTCTTCCATTGTCGAAAGTATGCATATAACAGGAACAGTGCTAAATATAGCTATACAGGTTTTCAGCAAAAAATGAAAGCATTTTTTCACAGTATGTGAATGAAGCTACATCGACACAGATGGCTCAGCCTGTTTGCCCACAGACTTTCAAGCTCTAACACACAGAAGTAATTTCTTGTTTTCTTTATGAGTTTTTTTTTTTGAACCATTAAGACCATAACCTGTGTACTGCATCACAGCTTTTCCATTTTGCCACTCTACTTTGAAGACTTTGTGTTCTCTGTTCCTCAGCCCGTTTATCCCTGGTGATGCTGCATCAAAGAGCATGATGGTGCTGATTTAGCCACTTCATTTTCAGCAGCTTTCACTGGAAGGATCTTGTAATGTTAAACTTTTGAGATAAGAAAAAGACCTTTTAAACTATTTAAAGCTGTGGTCCATAATTTAGAAGTTAAACATTGTGGAATCTTTCACTCAGAGCTGCCAAAAGGAAGCCAACATCATGACCTGCGTGATGTACATCAATTAATTTGCGCTTAGAAGGAGCAGCACAAAAGTGGCAAGCTGTGACTACTGCAGACTACTGCAAAAAGTAAAAAAGTGCTTTAATTGGAGTTTTTTCAGTCCTCCCCTCTCCCTTATAAATCAAAGACAATAAAAAGGTAAGAGGTTTACAGAGCTTCTCTTTCTTTTTTGCATTTTAATTTTGCTGGCAGCTTGTTTTTCAGTAGGGCCACTAAAATGCCACAGAAGAGAGGTATTGTAACTAGTGGCATAAACCATGAAAAACCTGGAGGACAAACAGAACACAGGAAATAGCTGTCCATACCTTTAAATTATACCCAGATTCTTTGGGTTTGGTTTCTATGGCTGTTTTGCTTCTGACATGTTCTACATACTAGAACTTCTAGAGGAATCCTAATCTTTTCATCAAACTCTCGGCCACCCTTGACTTCCATACTCTGCCTGCACTCCCTTCTGCCAAAAAGCTCCCTTAACAAGAAAATCGGTAAGAACAATTAAATTTCAATTTATTTTCTTTCAATTCCTTTTAATGAAAGCAGCTCAAAGTGAACTGAAAAACTTTAGCACTTGTTAGACTTCTCAGATCACAGCTGCTTTTCTCAGTAATGTAAGTTGAAAAGAAGGAATGAAAGGCTGCACTCAGAACAGGCTCTAGCCTTGGTCTGTTGTCACTTTTCCCTTCTGCTCTATTATAACAAACATGATTTTGGGAGGACCTGTACCTGATTTCCTAGAGATTCAAGTGTGTGTAAGATAAAAGATCCATTCTAAGAAGAAAGGCAACTTTTCTCACAGTAAAGGGAATATAACAACTGCAAAAGGACATATACATTAATAATAAAATTATTGATAAAAATAGAGTATTTCCTCAGCACTCATTAATTACCATGGCTTCATTGCTATTGAGTAGTCCAAATAGTACCTGCTATCAATCTACTCCAACATATGCAGCTTCCACAGAGGAATGTGAAGGAATCCAGCTAATGTTGCATTTTACCAGGAAAATAACAAGTTTGAGGCCCCTCCATCAAAGCCAGCTGAAAGATTTTGACCAGCTTGAAACAGATAACTTCATACAGTCACGTAAGCTTTTGTGCAGTTGGATGTTTTGAATCTTTCATGTGTTAACCCATTATACATTAATTGAAGTACATAGCTCAAGAATCAATTCTCTGCAGCCTGTCTGCATTAAAAGCTGACTTGACTTAGCAGTGAGGCACTTGATGATTCACCTCAGGCTGCTGGCTTTTACTTTTGAAATGTACTCAATTTCTTTGAACAGTGTTGGTAGTAAATGTTGGAAAACATCTCACCTGGCTAGAAAGTAGAAGAAAAACAAAAGTTTATTTTTCCCAACATATTATATTTTTCTGACCCAAGAATATTTTAACTACCTGTTATAACTGAGACACTTACAAATTTAAAGCTGCTGGAAACTGAAGAGCTGAATAGAAAATTTTAAAAAAGGGGAAAAAAACCAACAAACAAAAATCCATCCCTTAGATGAGCAATTCCTCTAAGAAATGACACAATCATCTAGCATATTGGGTTGGAAGAGACCTTGAAGATCACAGACAACATGGAAAACTGTGACAATTTTTCTGTATTTCTATGCTTAAAGCTGGATCTCCCTGGAGCAGCTTCCCTTGGGAAAAACTTACTCCCACCTCAAGGAGAAATTAAACAAATAGACAGTTTTTTTAAAGTAGAAGAACAATTTCCTCTGGTACTCAAAGCTCTGACACTAGCTTGATTTCTCACCCCTGACTAGTTGCATATTCTTAGGGTAAGATATTACAGAATGTGTGTGCACTTCTGATATAACCTTCAACTTTAGTCTTCAGAGCTAGAGGATGCACTTAGATCATGGTTAGTAATCAAATAGAGCAATATCCTGCTCCAAAATATTGCAGTCAGCTCTAAAAAGGAGTATGACATTCTTTAAGCAGGATATAGGCTTAATTCAGTGGAGTTAGAACTTGTCTCTTTTGGCCAAGTGCTTTTTAGTTCATACCTGCTTTTTCCATAAGTCAATAACTTTATGCAGAAGTTCATCATCTTCTCTTGGTCCTGGATTGGTGATCAAAAAATCTATGTCATGTCCAATATTCTTACCCCTAGAAAGAATAAATAACAAGGACATTTAAAGAGTTAAGTTCCTGTTGTATTTTGCTCTGTTTTCAAAGACAGTATTTTTGCTGCATTATAAAAAAAAATGCAGAATAAAATAATAGCAATGTTGCTTAAAACATAACCAAAATGGAATCTCTGATTACTATTATTGGGTTTATTAGTGTTCTTTATAAAATAATAATGACAAGTTTTTGATCTATTCCTCTGTTTTTCAACTAGATACTACAGATCCATTTGAAGATGTTAAATCTTTCTTTCTTCCCTTAAGTCCCAGAAAGGAAGATTTTAGTTATCTTTGGATTAAAAAAAAAAAAAAGCATAATAAAAATACAGTGTTACATATTATGAATCCAGTGCAGTAACAGGAGATAAACTTGCCAGTCAAACTACCACAGATTTAAATATTCTTCTTTGCTTTTGATGCACATTTTAATGTACAAAACTGTAATTATGGACATTTTTATTGTTTAACAGCAGATATAAATCCTTTGACTATTTTGCATTTCTTTTAAATATGACAATGCTTTTTACAGGGATGGAGATTGATTTTTTTTCTGAGGACAGCTCATCCTTAATGTGACTAAAGCTTGTTCATTACATGCACTAAGGATTTCATAATTAAATCAGTGTGCACAAAATTTAATTGCAAATGTTCTTAATGAAAAATTATGTCATAACCTCTTGTTTTTCTCTGTTTAAATCTAAGCATTCAGCTTGCCTTTCATCTACTTTCCAAAGGCGTTGAACTGAAATCTGATTAAGACTTAGCTATCATTGGAAAAAAAGTAAAAGCATGTTATTGAATGTTTCCCTTCAGAATTATAAAATGTTTGAGAACACACGAGAATTTATCTCACAATACAATTCATCTGAGCATTGCAGAATCAATACAAGTTTTAATTTTGGACTCGTTAGTACAACAGGAGATGCACACACGTTTACTGAGTGCAATCTCTCCAGCCTAAGGAGAAATGAGAAGAGGAGAGGAGAGATTTCTGCAATGAGAATTATTCTCCTTTAGGGAAATGGTGGAGAAAGCACCCAAAATCTGGAGTAGTGACTGTTATGTGCAGCATATCTCCAGATGTTTCTCATGTGTTTATGGGGAAAGTCTGCTCTTGCTGGTGTTCACAAGGGTATGTGATGTTATGGCTCGGGAGGGTTTCAGTCAACACTGTGTCAAGAATTCAGAGAACTTGTGAACTGCTATTCAAGCAATGAAAATAAAACAGTGAAACCCAAAGAAATCTTTTTTTTTTCATTAAATAATTTATTCTCTTAAAATAATGCCTAAAACTGAACCTGGTTTCTTAAACTTGGAAAATTGTAGGAAAAGAACTGATAGGCAGACTTGTCAAGTGCCATTTGTGTGACAGGAAGTCATCTAACTGATGGATAGTTGAACAGCATTAGCACAAAATTGTAAGGAGATTAAAGTCTGGGCTTTGCATTTGACAAGCAGTCATACTCACTATAATGCAACTATTGTGCTGTGTCTGCAGCAAAGTCGAAATTGCTTAAACAGGTAGAAATTATTTTAAAGAGGTTTCAAACAAAGCATCAGTCTAGGCTTAGAAACTGAACAGCAATTCAAACTCAAGAAGTTAGAAAATATTTAGTATTCCATGTAACACTGAGTTATTTTGTAGGATGCCATTCATTATCTCTAAAATTACAATAATAATGCAAAGCTCTTACATAGCATTTTTTACTAACATGTCTCAAAATATTTTTTCAAAAGGAAGGAATTTACTATTCCTATCTTAGAGATGCAGAGTGGCATAAGAATATTTGCTTTAAATTACTTTTTCAAGAAATCAAAGGAAGAAATTGGAAGCCAATGGAATTGGGAGCTGATTCCCAATGCTTCCTCAACATCTACATATTTTAAGTCAACAACCATCTACAAAATCCTGCATCAATCAAGCCACAAAATCACAGGAAATCCAAGGTGCTTCATTGGCCCTCTATTTCCCAAGACAGAGACCATTTATTGAAATACTCTCTGGGGCTTTTTTTTTTTTTTTTTTTTTTTTTTTTTTTTTTTTTTTTTTTTTTTTGTGAAATTAGAGAGCTTAATTCTCATATTAGTTATAACACAATATTAGTTATTATCAGAGTTACATTTCAGATCCTTTTTGACTAATTCACAATGGATAAATTTCTGACTGAAATTCTTAAGCTGTTACTGGTACCTTTAGTCTAATTGCTGCTAGCACTCTTTACCAAACAGTGCATTTCAGCCTAGAAAAATGTATTATTTTACTTAAAATAAAAAACAATATAATAAATTAAAAAGAAGTATAATACATGTGACTCACAGCTTGTAAATCATGCAAAAAGGTGCAGTAAGGAATACATGGATTCAGATCATCATTCTAGTGAAGGTGGCCAATAATTTCAGCAGAGTAGGGTTTTTCACATATACGCATGTATTTGTGTGTGTATGCATAGAAACATACAATCATGGGTACTCATAAAATTACATAAAGGGCCAAGTTATTTGTCATCCACTGGTTGCTAAACACAAAATACATAGCCAGAGCTTGGTACAGGGAGCAGGGTTTTAAGAATTTTCCTCACTAGAAAGGCATCCCAGGCAATATGCTACATTGCACTGCCTCTACAAATATCTAAAAATCTTCCATTTAATATCTCAAGGTGGCATAAATCCACTTGAGCTTGTGTTTTTAGCACACTAATTCATGATGGGAGATGCAGGGATTTGATTCTGGCACACCCCATCACAAAGACTTTCTATAAAGTGTGAGTACTTATTTTAAAATCAAAAGAGCTTCAATGACATTTTAGTAAAAATAACATACAACCCCATGACATGTATAGAACTTGTCTATTTTCTAGACCTCTTATGTGATGACAGATATAACCTGTCTAGTTTCTCCATTCTACGTGGGCATAAGCAGGACCTGGGAAATTACTTGCTTATACCTGGAATTGCTGAAGCTCTGGTGCACCAGAAGCATAGATGTATCCCAGGAGCAAAGTAATCACAAACAGAGCTGGGGAGTTCAGCTTTCTGAAGCTTTGAACAGGAAAATATTCAAGTTTTGCATTGCCTATTCAGATCCACTTACATCTTTTTCTTCTCTTCAAATTTAAACCTAAATCTTCACTGTGCTGGAGCTATAAGAAAACCAGCACCTTAAAGAATAGAAATTGCAGTTTACTTTTTGTTCTAATAATTTATTCAAGCCCGAAGATAATAAAAGACAGCGCACTATTAATTAACTGTGTTCAATTCCTGGCTGACTAAGCTTGTATAAAGCTGGTAAATGTTTCTTAGCAGCCAATTAACTACCTTTAAGGTTGTTGGAATTATCTTTCTTGCTGTTATTAGATTCCAAGCCATCAAATATAACTATCATTATGAATAAAACTTAAAGATATGAATGCATAGCAAAGGATAATCATATTGTCTTAATATACAATGGCAGCACCTGCATGATTAGACATTTGATAGTTGCATGTGTGCAGAATATTTTGAGATGCTGGAATAGTACATAATGGCGAAACCACATCAGTGACAATTCTGATCAAATTATTTTAGCTGAAGAAAGATGGACTGACATTTCCCTTCTACTCACAAACCTTCACTGTTGGATGAGAAAAATGACTTCTGACTTTAAAATCCTAAACACTATACTAGATTTGTCTTTTGTTATTTAGACTATCTGGTAATGGGTTCCTGTGACATTTTGCTTAACAGACCATATTTTCTTGGTTTCAGAGATTCACACTTCATTCAGAGTAAGACTATAATAGTCTTTGCAAATCCTTCTCAATCTCTTATTTCACTTCTGTGTGAAAACAGTTCTCCAATTAAGCTATTTACCTCAGGTCTGTCCTTGTCAGCTAAATAACAAACAATTTGCCTGACTCTGAAATAAAAATGGAAAGACAACGAGGAATTTTGGACCAGGAATCCAATTTAGTACCATACCTTCCAGAGCAGTCTAAAATACCATTTCTTCACAGCTGCCACATTGATCCTCAAGACCATCTTTGGAAGGGCACTTCAACTCTCTCTTTGTGAAAGATGTCACTTAATACTCAGAAGAAAAAGATTTTCACTAGCTGCTCTGAAAAGTCATCAGAGATTACTGTGTCCCTGCAGTCTCAGAATCTGGACTAGAGACAAGCTGGACAACTGGTATTTCTATATCTCAAAAAACACAGATGGAAATTTTCCAAATTTTTTTTTTAGTTTATTGTTGTCTGGGGGATTTTTGGTTTGGTTTCAGGAGTTTTTTGTGTTGTAACAGTCACAGCAAAAACTATCTATTTCTTAACCAGAGAAAATTCTTGTTGGCGTGATAGAATTAAGAAGTAATTCCCATGTGTGTTAAAACCTTCAGTGTTTACACAAGCATTCTGAACTTTACACATGAGAACACTGCCACAGATAATCAGAAACATGAATTGTTTGCACCAAGTCAGGCATATGTATAGACTGGTAGACTGGCAAGTAACAGGTGCTTATTTTCAATATCTGATCAACTAAAGAAGAAGAAGATAAATACTAAAGAAACATAAATTTTGTAGGGTTCCCAAAATTTGGCAAATTAATTGCATATAATTAATTGCATGATAAATCTTCAAATCATACACTCATTTAATAGCAAAAAGATAGCACAATGAAGTGGGTACAAATAATGGTGAACATAAACAGATTTGGCATAGGCATTTCAAACTTCTTTCTATGTGACTAAACTTTTTATTCTTGTCCAAACTGTGGAAAAATAATAATTGTGGAGGAAGACATGAACTCTCAAATACTGGGTGTTGGCTAATGTTCCAAGCTAACCTGTTTGATGAAACTGGGTCATATTTTCTAAAACAGGATATTTATGATAATACTCAGATGCTAATCAATATTTTAGTCATCATATTTGCAGCCTATACAATGAAAAATAAAAACCCCATAACTCCGAAATGTGGTATGGAGAGTGATTGCTATCAGGAA